TCCTCCTCCTCCTCCTCCTCATCATCATCATCATCATCATCATCATCATGCAAGGAGCTGTGCCTTCTGCTTCTTAAAGGTGGCGGCAGTAGTTTCAAAATAAGGTAGGGTGGCAATGGAGACGGGGGAAGAATGGGTGGTCTCCCCCAGAATGAACTCAAAAAAATGAACCATAAAGTTTGTTTAGCAGATAATTTTCATCTTTTCCATGTTTTAATCTTTTAATGCTATTTTATATATTTAATTTGCCTTTGAATATTTAACTTTTTATGTTTTAATTGTGTTACTTTTAATGTAATCTTTTAATGCTATTTTATATATTTAATTTGCCTTTGAATATTTAACTTTTTATGTTTTAATTGTGTTAATTTGAATGTTGTGAGCCGCCTTGGGGCCCTTTGTTGGGAGAAATGTGGCATACAAATCATCATTATCATCATCATTAAACAACAGGTCCAGTCAAAATTATAAAAACGTTGACTGCTGTGATATAATAGATAGAGGTTTTAACCAAAAACCTAAGTATCTTTTAATGACCAAACGACAACAACAATGTATGCTGTTGCTAATATTGCCCTGTTTTGTAGCTCTGATGGTGTGATTTCTGAGATCTGCAACCGCTTAGAGGACTGTGTGAAATTTCTTGATGTTGCTCCCAAAGCCCCAATGACGACGGGGACCACGGATGTGTGTTTCATCTACAAGCCAGATGTTTCTATGTCCAGGTCTCTGTATTTTGTTAGGTTTTTTTCAATTCTTTATTTTCAATTCTGACATTGCAACGTCAGTGATCCAGACATTTCTTGGCTCTATTACTATGATGTCTGGTGTGGTATATTCAACGTGTCTTTCAGTTTGGATCTGGAAATCCTATGAGATCTTCCTCATTTTCTGACACCTTCTCTACCTGATCTTCCCATGGGTTTTTGAAGGCCAGCAAGTTATATATATTTTTTGCACAAATGATGGTGACAGCATCAGCCAAACAAACAGGTTTGAAACCTTGCATTTCTGCAGGAAAAGCAGAAGGCCAAATGTGAGATGGATGGAAGAAGCCACAATCTTGACTTTGTCACCCATGAGCGGAGCTGTTAAGAAACGGTCCTTTGATAAGTCAAAGATTCAACCAGAGAAGTTTCTGCTCAAACATGTCAGGGAAGAGCAACAACTAATGGGAAAAGTTACTTCAAAGAGTCTAGAAGAGTTTAACCCACATTTACAGTGCTAATTTCCCCCATCCTAGATGGTAATGTATTTTTCTCTCACCTATTTTAAAGAAGGCCACCAAGCCCACGTCCCAATCCTGAGATAATCAGCTTTTTGGCTCCAAACTTGTCCCTCCTTTTATCCCACCCTCCTGGGATCCCAAATAAATTCCCATTGCTTTGAAACTATTACCAGCTTTCTCCTCTTGGATTATTTAAGGTCCCGGATGCCCTCTCTGGCCGCACGAGGGAGTCCTGGCTCCACGCTTCAATCTGATTATTCCGCAAATGTGAGAATGAGTTGCCGCATCAAAGGGTCTCTTTACACACAAACTCGTTATCTTTTTTTGTTGTGTGTGTGTGTGTGTGTTTTAATTCCCCCTGAAGCCACAGGTCTGACTATGCAGCAGAATAAGAAAAGCTTTGGGCCAAAAGCTGCATCTCGAGCGCCCTTCAGAGCAAAACCCCAGACATTCAGCAAAAAAGTGTGCATGCATCTGCCTTGAATTTATTTCGTGCAAGGTTTAAGAAAACACTGTTTTTTTTAATGACACACCGCCGCCTGCGTCGTGATGATGAGTCACCAGCAGCAGCTTGAAGAGGCCATAGCGGTGCCTGAGGGTAGAGCTGGGGAAAGTTGGCTCTGGGACTACATCTCCCAGAATCCCCCCCCAAGCCAGCATGGGGCATTGTAGCCCAGTTTCCCTGGGGCCTCAGGTGGAGGCCATTTCTTGCTAAACCTGCTGCTGCTTTTTGTTGTCATTCCGGTCACCTCCAAATGGAGTTAGGGGGTTGATGATGGGTTAAAGTTATAGGGTTGATGATGGGCTTTGTAGTCCTAGCAGAAAGGGTTATTCTTGAATTCCCTTCATTGCACAATAAAAAAAAAGGCTAGGAATGTTCGGAGGCAAGATTGATTCGCAAGCCCTTGACAAAAACACGCACCGACTCACCATTGAACCGGTTTAATTACTTGCTTGGACATGGCTTTAAGGTAAAAGAAAATAGTTATTTACTTGCTGAAAAACGTGCACGTTGCAGGCACAAGCTGGATTCAAGATGCAGTGAAATGCACAGTAGTATTTTTCCTTCCGGCCCTTCCAGTTGACTTCCCTCTGTATTCCCAGTTCCCCAAAGGGTGATCAATGGAACAATAAACATCCACCCACCCGTTTCTGTAATGTTCCACTAGGTTTGTGGTCACTGATTGGTTGGGATAACTGCCAGGCTTACTTACTGTTTGGGAGAAAGCCAGGTTCACTGAGTGTATGGGATATAATCTAAGATTAGCAGAATGCATTCTGGAAAAGGGAACGGAAGGCTTCAGCATCTCCTAGCTATAATGTTAGTTATTGTCCTTAATTAGTTCCATTTATACTTTGCCTCGAATCAAGCCTGAACTATCTCTGGAGGTAAAAAAGAAACTGAGGCTGTTTGACTTCATGAGAAGGCAGGATTATTTTTCTAAGCCTGAACTATCTCTGGAGGTAAAAAAAGAAACTGAGGCTGTTTGACTTCCGGCACATCATGAGAAGGCAGGATTCTTTTTCTAAAAAAATAATAATGCTGGGAAAAATTGAAGGCAGCAGGAAATGAGGAAGACCAAATGTGAGATGGACTGACTCCCTAAAAGAAGGCACAAGAGCTGAGCAGGGCTGCTGAGGACAGGGCATTTTGGAGGACACTCATTCATAGGGTTGCTGTAAGTAGGAGGTGACTTGACGGCACACAACGACAACAGTGCTCTACCTTCCTCTGATGAGGTCTAGCGCATACATGATCCTTTCTACGTCTTAGCTTTATCCTCAGAACCTCTGAAGCACGTCAAGCACGTAAGGCAGAGTGAGTGGACCTAAGTCACTCAACGAGTTTCACAAAAACCCTACCAGTGGTTTTATTTCCATTTCCATCCAACCGGTGAGTTTGAACGGCTGAGGGGTGGGGTGGATTTGAACCCAGATCTCCTACTCTGTCACCCAATGCACTGGGACCGGAGATTCCTGGCAAATGAAACCATCTCTTGTAATAAGAAGCCAGACGCAAAACTACACTGCAGTCTTTTTCTTTCTTTCTTTCTATGGAGAATGCAGGGGAAAATATATCTTATTTTGAGACTGCGAAGTCCCTCTGAATCAAAGCAACTTCCAAACCTTCAGGGCCATTCCACTTCAGATTTGATCCAACTCATTTTTTTTTAAGACCTCTCTTGATCTTCTCCCAATGAATTGGGACCTAGTTATGCCTAAGATAGGGACGTGGTGACACTGCAGGTTAAACCGCAGAAGCCTCTGTGCTGCAAGGTCAGAAGACCCACCGTTGTAAGATCGAATCTACATGACAGAGTGAGCTCCCATGTCCCAGCTCCTGCCTAGCAGTTCAAAGCATGTAAAAATGAGAGTAGATAAATAAGTACCGCCTCAGTGGGAAGGTTACGGCGTTCCATGTCTAGTTGCGCTGGCCACGTGACCACGGAAACTGTCTTCGGACAAATGCTGGCTCTACGGCTTGGAGACGGGGACGAGCACCGCGCCCTCGAGTCGGACATGACTGGACTCAATGTCAAGGGGATCCTTTACCTCTACCCATGCCTAAGATATAAACAAATACCAAGGGGAACCTTTACCTTTACCCATGCCTAAAATATAAACAAATATCAAGCAGGATATAACTTAGTAACATATTAACAATACATCACTTTTCCCCCTCACCTGGGATAATTCAGAAAGGCAGGTTCTACTCCACCTGTACATGGAAAAACCAGGCAGAGAAAGGTTAAGTAAATATAGCTAATAGTATATAAATAAATAGAATCAAGTGGGCTCCAACTGTAAATGATATATAAACAAGTCCGTTACTTCCCTTTTGCTACCGAGGACTCAATCATGCAAAATGACAAGCAAGGCTGTCTGCTCAAATGTTATACAAACAGAATCAAGACATAAACCAATAAGTGGATATCAGATCTCCAACTGTAAATGATATATAAACAAGTCCATTACTTCCCCTTTGTTACCGAGGACTCAATCATGTTGAGTCCGTCTGGGCTACCAAAATGATAAGCAAGGCTGTCCGGTCAAAAGTTATACGAACAGAATTAAGACATAAACCAATAAGTAGATATCAGATCCATCGTCGTCATCATCATAGCACTGCAGAGCTGGAAACGACCCTATGGATCATAGAGTACCGGCTCTGTGGGGAATCGAACTCCCAACCTGATGGCTAATCCACCAAGCTATCCAGCAGTTCATAATGACAAGTGATACAACAACAAATATGGTTTTTTTCTCTCCGCACTGAGAATGGTTCAATCCTGTGGATTCTTCTCCCCCTGTAACTGAAAAGCAAGGAGGTCTAGTTAACTAGTGGAGCTGCAGCCAAGCCAAAATTATGTTTATTTATTTATTTAAAAGCTCTAAGTAGGGTTATGTTTGCCTCCTGTTGGCTTAAAGGCAAAAAAAATTATCTTTATAAACACCAGACCCGGTTGTAACAAACTGTCTTTAACTTTACACCCAGTCTAAACAAAGTCTCTGTTCTTTTTTATGGGCAGGGTGTTTCCTGGGGAAAATAAAGGGAATTTAGATTGTAATCGTAAAGCCCCAGGCTGTGGAGGAGGGTGCAGTTAAATCATGACTGGGGGATGGAGGGCCTGGTGGTCATCAGGAAGTTGAGCGAAGGTATATTTTGGCACCACTTTGCTTCCTGCCCCAGCTGTGTTCTCTCCGGAGTTGACCTGCCTTGGTTGCAGTCTTTCCTGCCTGATTGGCATGCCGTCTTGACTACTACAAAGGGCTCTCCGTAGGGTGACCCTTGAAGAGGGTACGAAATCTGTAAGTGCTGTGCTGGTGCAGCTGTTAGGCTGCTGAATGGCACCCAAGATAGAGATCGCCTTGATACCCACAGGTATGCCAGTTGCAGATGGGGTCCTGATTCAAGGTGTTGGCTTTAAACCTTAAAGCCCTTGGGGGCTGGCTCATAGGGAGACCACTTCTCTTGTTAAGACCCCGCTTCACCAGGAAATGCTAAAGAGAGACCCTCTTGAAAAAATAACAATACTTCTTCTGTACTTTGGATACATGCCCCATCAGTTCTGAACCACTCTTAAAAAGTTTGTGACGACACTTTAAAAAAAGCAAACAAACTCATACGGAATATTCCGTTCCTTGTGTGAGTATTTTAACTGCTTTCGCTCTTAAAGTACGCGGTTTTTAATGTTTTTATAGCTGGGTCTGTTTTTAATCAGTTATTTTTCTTCTGTCTTATGGTAATATGTACTCTGCCTTGATCCCTATTCGATCCTAGAAAAATAATGTAATCTTAGTGTGACACAGCTAGAAGGGACCCCGTAGATCATCCAGTCCAGCCCCTGTCAAGGAGGCTCCGTGGGGGAATCAAACTCCCAACCTCTGTCTCCACAGTCAGATGCCTTGAGCCATTTCATTTCTTCTCCACCTTTCCCGGAGAACAGGGACCCAAGGCAGTTAACAATGCAGTTAAAAAAACACAGACCAGTCGCATTAAAGTTACAAATTTTTAAATAGTGTTCACTTTGTTTTGATATTAAAATAACCGTTGACATCACAACACTTCAAAATCTATTTAATAAAGTTGGAATGATGCTTTACCTTAAAAAAAGAGAGAGAGAGGGAGAGAGAGAGAGGAAAGAGTACCACCACATCAACCAGAAGATGGCTGTTAATTCTGGGAAGGCAGCTTAAATAGTAAGAACACGGAATAATAAGGTCTTTGTGATATATGAATAATAAAGCTCACCCCTAGGGCTCTGCCACAGGAGGGGGTGGGGTAAGCGCTTCTTTCCGAGTGTCCAAAGAGAGAAGGAGAAATGTGTTTTTTATTTTTGCCAGGAGTCGGAAATGTGTTCCAGTTCTCATCAAAATGCATGACATTTGAGCCGAGTTCTGAAATAAAATGAGGACAAGCTTCACATATCTTACAGAAGAGAAACAGCATCTCTCTCTCCGCCCCCCCCCCCCCACACCCCC